GTTCCCACATGTTACCTTTACTGATTCTCAAAGCCCATAGGTTTTATCATTTCTTATTGTTGTCATTTTTATTTCTGTACATAATGTCTTTTTTACAATGGAATATTCGTGGCCTTAGGGGTAATCGAGGAGAACTCCAATTGTTGCTCTCCCAGTTGTCCCCAGTATGTGTTGGGTTGCAAGAGCCCAAAATTTGTTCTGCTGTCATTCACCCGTTTCGGGCTACTTGCTGATACATTCTTCTGATCCTTTACCTGACGAATCATTTAATGAAAGCACACTTCTTGTATGTGTTGATATACCATATCAACAAGTTTTTATTTGTTCCCCGCTGCATTATACTGCAGCTCGTATTTATTTACACTGATGGTTTACAGTTTGCTATCTTTATCTTTCTCCCTCCCGTGCATTCTGTATCTCTGATATTGCATTTTTAATTTCATCTCTACTACTGCCCGTATTGTTGTTGGGTGGTTTTAACGCTCGCCATCACCTGTGGGGAGGGTCCGACTGTGACTCTTGTCATAATTAGTTGGAGACTTTTCTCGCATCTCATCCTCTTCATGTTCTAAACACGGGTGCTCCTACCCATTTTGATTCTCGTACTCGGTCTCTCTCCTGCATTGATCTTTCTATTTGCTCCTTGCTTGTTGCACTTGATTTCGTGTGGTCTTTTCTTCCAGATTTACATGATAGTGATCACTTTCCCATCCTTCTGACTTCTACTATGTATGCCCGACCATTTCATAGCCCTCGTATTATGGTTCGAATCTTAGTCTTTGGCCAGGATAGTGTTCTCCGTAACAAAATCATTTCCAAGAATAAGAAGGAATGTAATAAAGTTGGTAGAATTACCAACAATAAGTAAAAGGACACAAGTGCAGCTAATGACATTTTTATTGTGGCAACGTTTTGCTCTCCAGGGAGCTTTGTCAAGCCGTTACAAACGGTACATGGACACAGAGGGCATCTATAGGATCAGAGTGAGGTGCAGTACTAGTGGTAGTAGTAGTATAGTAGTGATATAAGTTGTAATAGTAGTAGCAATACAATATGTTAGAACAATTAACTCACACTTGAGTAAAAGGATATAAAAGCTATTACTTGGGTAACATAAGAATAGGTTAGTAATTTTGAGCATACATACAGAGGTACAAAAAAATACAGGTAAGAGCAGCATGCCAAAGCCACTTGTATGCATAGCATTACAGGCTGGCTTAAAATTAACTAAGCAATGATGTAATCAGTGATAAAACATTATTGTAAACAGATAACAATAAAGCACAAATGAGTATTACAAAGACAGGTCATATGGTTGCATGCATTGCTGTAAATTGTCGAATGGAGTATTCTGTTAGGTAGTGTATTTAAAAAATAACAAAGTTAGATTGGGTCTTAGGTTTAATATTTATGTGATATAATTGTGAGAAACATTTAAGATATACAATTTATAAGGTTCAGTTATTCAGTATTTATTTGGTTTTGGGTGAATAAGTGATCTTTGAGAAGAGACTTGAATTTATAAACAGGTAATGTTTCTTTTATATTTACAGGTAATGAATTCCAGATTTTAGGCAGAACATCCAGGTTAATATAGTTGTCATCATTTAATTTAAAAACAAAAATAGATTTTTTTTTATTTATTTATTAACACACTGGCCAATTCCAACCAAGGCAGGGTGGCCCGAAAAAGAAAAACTTTCACCATCATTCACTCCATCACTGTCTTGCCAGAAGGGTGCTTTACACTACAGTTTTTAAACTGCAACATTAACACCCCTCCTTCAGAGTGCAGGCACTGTACTTCCCATCTCCAGGGCTCAAGTCCGGCCTGCCGGTTTCCCTGAATCCCTTCATAAATGTTACTTTGCTCACACTCCAACAGCACGTCAAGTATTAAAAACCATTTGTCTCCATTCACTCCTATCAAACACGCTCATGCATGCCTGCTGGAAGTCCAAGCCCCTTGCACACAAAACCTCCTTTACCCCCTCCCTCCAACCTTTCCTAGGCCGACCCCTACCCCGCCTTCCTTTCACTACAGACTGATACACTCTTGAAGTCATTCTGTTTCGCTCCATTCTCTCTACATGTCTGAACCACCTCAACAACCCTTCCTCAGCCCTCTGGACAACAGTTTTGGTAATCCTGCACCTCCTAACTTCTAAACTACGAATTCTCTGCATTATATTCACACCACACATTGCCCTCAGACATGACATCTCCACTGCCTCCAGCCTTGTCCTCGCTGCAACATTCATCACCCATGCTTCACACCCATATAAGAGCGTTGGTAAAACTATACTCTCATACATTTCCCTCTTTGCCTCCAAGGACAAAGTACTTTGTCTCCACAGACTCCTAAGTGCACTGCTCACCCTTTTCTCCTCACCAATTTTATGATTCACCTCATCTTTCATAGACCCATCCGCTGACACGTCCACTCCCAAATATCTGAATACATTCACCTCCTCCATACTCTCTCCCTCCAATCTGATATCCAATCTTTCATCACCTAATCTTTTTGTTATCCTCATAACCTTACTCTTTCCTGTATTCACTTTTAATTTTCTTCTTTTGCATACCCTACCAAATTCATCCACCAACCTCTGCAACTTCTCTTCAGAATCTCCCAAGAGCACAGTGTCATCAGCAAAGAGCAACTGTGACAACTCCCACTTTATGTGTGATTCTTTATCTTTTAACGCCACGCCTCTTGCCAAGACCCATGCATTTACTTCTCTTACAACCCTATCTATAAATATATTAAACAACCACGGTGACATCACACATCCTTGTCTAAGGCCTACTTTTACTGGGAAATAATCTCCCTCTTTCCTACATACTCTAACCAGAGCCTCACTATTCTTGTAAAAACTCTTCACTGCTTTCAGTAACCTACCTCCTACACCATACACCTGCAACATCTGCCACATTGCCCCCCTATCCACCCTGTCATACCCCTTTTCCAAATCCATAAATGCCACAAAGACCTCTTTAGCCTTATCTAAATACTGTTCACTTATATGTTTCACTGTAAACACCTGGTCCACACACCCCCTACCTTTCCTAAAGCCTCCTTGTTCATCTGCTATCCTATTCTCCGTCTTACTCTTAATTCTTTCAATAACAACTCTGCCATACACTTTACCAGGTGTACTCAACAGACTATCCCCCTATAATTTTTGCACTCTTTTTAGATTTTTTTATTTTTCAAAATATTCGGAGCACCATGCAGGTGAATGTAGATCTACGTTTGGACAGTTTAAGGGTTAATCCAGACACTCATTGACTTTTTGACAGCAACTGATTTACTAAACAAGCTCTGATGATACCTCTACCACTCTCCTCAGTCCTTTCTACCTTAGTCTCGTGCTACCCTCTACCCCCTGCACTATCCACTGCCCCGCTGCACTCCATATACTAATAATCATCCCTCCTCCTTTTGCCACCCACTTCCCCTGCATCCTGCCCTGCTGTGCTGTATAACCCTTGCAGTTTAGCTCTTTTGATTATAATAACCTAAATAATACAGTATCATTTTCAGTGATAGAGTAAGGAGCAGACGGATTTAGGGAGGGAGAGTAAGCAGCAGAGGGATGTACGGAGGGAGAGTAAGGAGCAGGGGGATGTAGGGAGGGAGGGAAAGTAAGGAGAGGGATGCAGGAAGGGAGGGAGAGTAAAGAGCAGAGGGACACGGGGAGGGAGGGAGAGTAAGGAGGAGAGGGACGCAGGAAGGGAGGGAGAGCTGTGACCATTGCCGTCACCCTTCACACATCCTTCATTACAAAATATGAGTTTATTAGGCAATCAGAGGTGCAAACGCTGGTGTCTGCTGAGATCTGGCTCCATGAAGATCAGTGCACTAACCTAACTTGTTCAATGTTCTTTTGGTCCCCCACACACATTGCTCCTGTCATTCCTGTTGCATGTATATTTGTGTTTGTTTATTCTAGTGGACAAACTTCTACCCGTTTGGGTGCTAAGATAAACAAAAATATGCATGCAACAAGGATGACATAAGTAATGCCTGCATTGTCCACAGGAACACCTGAGTTGGGCCAGTACATGGATAATCTTCATGGAACCATGTCTCAACAGATGCTGGTGTTTGGAAGGATCTGATTGCTTTACAGTCCCACACAAACCAAGTAGCTACAATACTGCCACAACACAAGCACATGATATTCTACAAGATTCATCCCACCCACCACCAGATACAACCTAAATCTCAGTTACTCTGGGGGGGGGGGCCTTCCTGACCGAGCTTTTCCTACTCTTATATACATTTAGCATGATGGTAGGATTGCTGGTGTCCTTTTTTGTCTCATAATTATTATAATTATATTCATGGGGGAGTGCTAAACCTGTAGGATTATACAGCCCCTGTAGGGGGGGGGGTTGGAAGATATTCAGACTCGATTCAGGGAATTGGAGCACATATACAATACCCTAGATCAAGAGCCTCTCACCAGCATCAAGGAACCTCCCTTGAAGGGTTCTGTCTCATAAACATTCAGGATAACAGGTATATCTTCCTACTACTTCTTATACTGAGGTCACACTACACATGCATGTACATGCATATGTATTTACACCCTCCCCTCTGTTTTTTTTTTTCTATTTTCTTAATACTAGTTCTTGTTTATTTTTATTTCCTCTTATCTCCATGGGAAAAGTGGAACAGAATTCTTCCTCAATAAGAATGTTGTAAGAGGCATCTAAAAGGCTGGGAACAAGGGCTAGTAACCTTTTCTGTATAAATTACTAAATTTAAAAGAAAAAGCTCGTTTTTCTTTTTAGGTCACCCTGCCTCGGTGGGATACGGCTATAAAAAAAAAATTCACATTTGGAATGATCAAGGCCCCAGGACTGAAACATTACCAATAAAATGGCCTGTTTGTCTTTTCCTAACTACACATTATATCTCACATTTATTATTTACAGTAATCCTCACAATTTTATTTACAAAAATGCATTAATGTCATTCGTGTTTTCAGAGATATTCAGCGTGGTCATAGAGTGGCCAATGCCATTGAAGCTGGGACTGTGTGGATCAATACTTACAATTTATACCCAACAGAAGTTCCTTTTGGTGGCTACAAACATAGTGGCATTGGTAGAGAAAATGGCCTTACTGCAGTAGACTATTTCACTCAGACACGCACAGTATATGTGGAGATGGGAGATGTTGATTGTGGACCTTTATACCAAGAATAAAAACATTTTAAAAATAATTATTTTTTTAATTCAGTGCCTCTATACAGTACCTTATTATATATAGATCTTTTTTTTTTTAACTACTGTCTTCCACCAAGGCAAAATGAATAAAAAACAAATTAACAGCTATTTTGCCATGTGATGTGCATACATCACAATTCAAGTGACCCTCCAGAATGCAGGCACTGTACTTCCCACCTCCAGGACTCAATCCTGGTTAACCAGTTTCTTCTGAATCCCTTTATAAATGTTACCTTGCTCACACTACACGTCCAGTCATAAAAACTGCTTTCTCCTTGGTAACATGCTCGCACAAGCACCTAGGACTCAAAACCTCTAGCTCCTTGCAATCCTTCCTGTGACAACCCCTACTACTTCCTTCCACTCCAGAATTATGCATCCTCTTAGTCATCCTATTCTGCTCCATTCTCTGTTATTTCTCAGAACATCTCAACAACCATTTCTCAGCCCTCTGAATTACACCCTTGGTAGCCTCAAATTGTCTCCGAATTTCTATGCTCTGAATTCTAAAATATTTACCCTACACATTGCTCTTAAAATAAGGCATCTTTACTGCCTCCTCCTCACTGCAACACTGAAAGCCCATTCCTCATACCCATATATTAGTGTTCTAAATCCTCTATGTTAATCTGCAAACATATTTTATGTCCTACTTTATCCATAGGCTATAGTTAGGGTATGCATGAGAAGGGGATTATTTTAGACAGGAATGTGTGATACCACTATAGTTGTTTAACAGTTATAGATGGTATTGTAAAAGTGAATGCTAGTATGTTGGGGAGTGGTGTGGGATTAAAACAATGAATTTGGTATAAGTGGGAGTTGTCACAGTTGCTCTTTGGCAATTACACAGTTGTTTTAGTAGATCCTGTAGAGAAATTGCAAAGATTGATGGAAGAATTTAGGAGGGGTATGTAAAAGAAAGGAATTAAAAGTGAACACAGGGAAGAGCAAGGTGATGAGAGTAACAAAAAATTTAGTCATTGAAAGACTGATATCAAACTGAAGGGATCACAGAAGAATAAATGTCTTTAGATATTTGAGAGTGGACATGTCCGTTGGGTCTATGAAAAGCAAAATGAATCATAGAATTGATGGGGAACAGGGAAAAAGGTGGGTGATGCATTGAGGCATCTGGGAAGACTGACCTTCTTTCATGGAGGCAAAAAGGGAAATGATCCCAACAATGTTATATGGGTGTGAAGGATGGGTTTTGAATGTTGCAGTGAGAAGGCTGGAGGCAATAAAGGTACTGTGTGTGAAGGCAACAAGTGATGTGATTATGAAGAGAATTTGGAGCTTGTAGATTGTATAGGGTTACCAAGAGTGTATTTCAAAGAGCTGAAGAGTTGATGTGGCTTGGGTATTTGAGAAAAGATGGAGCAAAATAGGATGACTAGGAGGTACAGTATATAAATCAGAAGTGGAGGGGTAGTGTTGGTCCTACAAAGGGGTGAAAAGAGGTTTTGAGTGCTATGGAATTTAATACCTAACAGGCTTGTGCAAGCATGTTGCATAGGAATGGAAAGTTAAGTGTTGGAGTGTGAGCAAGGTAACATTTATGAAAGAGATTTAGAAAAAGTGGTTAGCTGGATAGAGTCCCCACACTGGATATTACTGTTAGGATAGTCATAAATGTGACATCAACACAATCCTGGCAAGGCAGTGATTGAATGATAGTGAATATGTTTTCTATTTTCTGGGGTTACCTTGCCTCAGTAGGAGACAGCAAGATAGATAGCTTACTAGTGAGAGACAGGACTCTTATGCCCAAGGTCTGGTGATCAAAACCCCAACTGAGAATTTCTCTGGTATATTCACCCCTCAAGGAAGGTTCCTTGATGCTGGTGAGGCTCTTGATCTAGGGAATTGCATCTATGCTCCAGTTTCCTGAATTAAGCCTAAATACCTTCCACATCCCTCCTCTCCCACAGGTGCTTCTCCCTTGATTATTATAATATTCTGGTATATTCAACAGGCATATATCCTTCTAATTCTTATACTCTCTTAGTCACCTTTACCCTTACACTATGCATGCTCTCTGCCAGTCCTTAGGTATCTTCCTTTCTTTCATGCATATACTGAATAAATACATCAACCACTCCAAAACTATATCCTCACCTGTTTTTTACATCTGTCTTAATCCAATCTGTCCCAACTGCTTTACCTTAATTACATTCTACCCTTTGCCCCATGCACTTCCTCACCCACACCCACATCCAGCTCTTTCATACTCCCAGCCCAAAACGTGAAATCACTGTCTCCCTTCACTAGCACTTGACACCTCAAAATATTCCATCTTCCAACACACTCCACCTCCACATTTAACATCTCCCCTCTTTAGATTTTTAACTGCCAAGCACACTTGCTCCCCAGGCTTTCTTAACTTTTTAATATCTTTTAAAAACTTTCTCATTCTCAGCAAAATGAGCTAATTAAACCTCACTCATTTTCTCATTTCTCATATATTCTGCCTTCCACAGTTCATTTCTATATTAAAAACCTCTTGTATGCTAACTTTTCCTCCCTTGCTACCCTCTTTACCTCATCTTCCCATCAACCATTCCTCTTCTTACCAGCACCCACCTTGCTATACCTACAAACTTCTGCTGTACACACTAAGACTGCATTCTTACACCCACTCCATTCATCTTCAACCTCATTACCTGTACTTACTAGCTCACCTTTCACCCAGTAGTTTCTTACATCTTTCCCTGTCTCCATCAATTTATTTACTTTCACTTCTTTATCCACTGATGCTATTCTCTTTGTACTCCACCTACCACTTACCCCTTACTGTAGCTACCACTAAATAATGATCTGACATACCTGTCACTTCATTCATAACATGCACATCCAGAAATGTACCCAGTAATCTTTTATCTATTAATACATAGTCCAACAAACTGCCCTATATACCTTACGTACTTATTTATCATCTTGTTCCTAAAAAAGTATTACCTATTTCCAAACCTCTTTCAATATATAATTCACTTAGAGACCCCATATTGTCATTTACCCTGGCACTCCAAACTTTCCTGTTGCACTATATACAACACTCACTCCAACTTCAGCATTTAGGCCTCATAACAATTATTCTTTCACTCACTTTCAAAATTCCTTAAAAATTTGCTTAACTTTTTTTTTTTTTAACACACTGACCATCTCCCACTGAGGCAGGGTGAACCAAAAAAAAAATAATTTTCAACATCATTTACACTATCACTGTCTTGTCAGAGGTGCACAGATACAACAATTTACCTGTCCATCTAAACAGCATATATCCCAAACCCCTCCTTCAGAGTGCAAGCACTGTACTTTCCACCTCCAGAATTCAGATCTGGCTAACTGGTTTCCCTGAATCCCTTCACACTCCAACAGCTCATCAAGTCCCTAAAATCATTTTTCTCCACTCCTATCTAACATGCTCACACATGTCTGCTGTATGCCCAAGTCCCTGGTATACAAAACTTCCTTTAGCTCCTCCCTCCATCCTTTCCTAGGATGACCCCTACTCTAATCATTTCCTCTTTCTCACTCTCTTTGCACTCCTCTCTTCCCAGGTGCATAAGCAATTACTATAACCCACTTCTCACTTTTACTCTAATCCACTCATTCTTGAGCTGTTTAGCTTAATACCAGAACATCCAGCTTCTCATTCATAACATTAACCCATGACTGTTTTGGCCGTATATATACGTCTTACAAGCCAGTGTTTCGGACATGTATATGCTCAATAATTCTAGCAGCTTCAAATCAAGCAGGAGAAAACTGGTAGGCCCACATGTGAGAGAATGGGTCGGTGTGGTCAGTGTGCATTGTATAAAAAAAATCCTGCGCACGTGCAATGCATAATGAGGAAAAAAACCTCCGACTGTGTTTTTGGATTAAAACTCCGACTTTGAGATGTATTTTCGTATAGTGTTTATGGTTGTACAGTGGACCCCCGCATACCGTACGCATCGCATACCGTACAATCCGCATACCGGACGCTTTGATTGCAAAAATTTGGCCTCGCATACCGCCCAAAAACCCGCTCACCGTTCTTCGTCCGAGACGCGTCCAATGTGCGGCCTCAGCCAGCCTCATATGTTCCGCCGGTGGCATTGTTTACCAGCCAGCCTCCGCGGTAACATCCAAGCATACAATCGGAATATTTCATATTATTACAGTGTTTTCGGTGCTTTATCTGGAAAATAAGTGACCATGGACCCCAAGAAAGCTTCTAGTGCCAACCCTACAGCAATAAGGGTGAGAATTCCAATAGAAATGAAGAAAGAGATCATTGATAAGTATGAAAGTGGAGTGTGTGTCTCTGAGCTGGTCAGGTTGTACAAGAAACCCAAATCAACCATCTCTACTATTGTGGGCAACAGAAAGGCAATCAAGGAAGCTGTTCTTGCCAAAGGTTCAACTGTGTTTTCGAAACAGAGATCGCAAATGATGGAAGATGTTGAGAGACTCTTATTGGTGTGGATAAATGAAAAACAGCTAGCAGGAGATAGCGTCTCTCAAGCGATCATAAGCGAAAAGGCTAGGAAGTTGCATGAGGATTTAATTAAAAAAATGCCTGCAACTAGTGATGATGTGAGTGAATTTAAGGCCAGCAAAGGTTGGTTTGAGAGATTTAAGAAGCGTAGTGGCATACATAGTGTGATAAGGCATGGTGAGGCTGCCAGTTCGGACCACAAAGCAGCTGAAAAGTATGTGCAGGAATTCAAGGAGTACATAGAAAGTGAAGGACTGAAACCTGAACAAGTGTTTAATTGTGATGAAACAGGCCTGTTTTGGAAGAAAATGCCAAGCAGGACCTACATTACTCAGGAGGAAAAGGCACTCCCAGGACATAAGCCTATGAAAGACAGGCTTACTTTGTTAATGTGTTCCAATGCTACTGGTGATTGCAAAGTGAAGCCTTTATTAGTGTATCACTCAAACTCCCAGAGCGTTCAGGCAAAAGAATGTCCTCAAGGAGAATTTGTGTGTGCTGTGGAGG